ATTGCTGTGCATTACACGGAAGAGAAGCTATAGAAAGTTGCACGATTAGACTGTTTATGACGGGAGTGCCAAAATTAGCAATGACTCTATTTTACCTCGCTTACCTCGCTGTAACGTTTACCTCGCTGCATCGAGCCAAATCTTTTCGAATTAAAACAACTTCTGATGTTCATGAACACGGAAAAATCGCTTAACGGCTTGTGTGAAACGACGCATTTTACAAATGACTGGAAGCTCTGGCGTCTCAACTCCGCGATAATTGAAGGTAACAAATTTCAGAGGCTCTGGGAGTCTTCAAATCGCGGTTGGTAACAAGTTTTATTGTGCATGGATATTGGCACTTCAAACTTCCCTTTTTTCAACCATATTAGTCACTGAATCCAGTTAGGAGCCACTTTTGAGAAATTTAAAGTCGAATTTGATATGTGTACAAAGCCGTATTTGGACTTGGTGCTTGTTATCGCTAAAGTTTGCCATAATAGTTTTGTAAAAGCATAATAAAACCAGGTAAGTTTCAAAGTAGAATAACTTTCACGTGCGTGGGCGAAAAAATCATAAAAGACATTGTGAAAGTAACGAAGACTTTCATTTTTTGAGCCTAAAGCCATTGGTCGGTTCTTAGAGAGATAACCTCTTAAATTCATTCCCAATCGTGCAGAATAGACATACAGAGTTTAGATTAATAAATATCAGCATTGTCAATTTGACAATAATTTCCGGGTTTTCCCCGAGTAGCTAATTTTAATACGAAAGCGTACCACGTTTGATAATACCTCGCTGCATCGATCGAAATCTTTTTTAATTAAACCCACTTGTGATGTTCATGAACACTGAAAAATCGCTTAACTACGATGATTTAAAGGCTTGTGTAAAAAAAAACGGAGCAAGAGCGCATTTTACAAGTGACTGGAAGCTCTGACGTCTCAACTCCGCTATAATTGTAGCTAAACAAAATAGCCAAATTGTATCAAATTTCAGAGGCTGTCGAGTCTTCAAATCGCGGTCAGTAACAAGTTTTATTGTGGATATGGGTACTTCAAACTTCCATTTTTTTAACCATATTAGTCACTGAATCCAGTTAGGTGCCACTTTTGAGAAATTTAAAGTCGAATTTGATATGCGTACAAAGCCGTATTTACACCCGGTGCTTGTTATCGCTAAAGTTTGCCATAATCTTTCTGTAAAAGTATCACAAAACAAGGCAAGTTTCAAAGTAGAATAATTTTCACGTTGGTGGGTTAAAAAATCATAAAATTTGGTTGAATACTTTTAAAATTATATGTATTTGAATTCGGCTAATTTTTATTCCTGATTTAGACAGAGGATTTTCTGCCCGACGGCGCGGGACGAAAAGTCGCTGAAATTTTAAAAATTAATAAAATTTCAAAATTCCAAATAGTGTTTGTTCGTTCTTGGGGTAAATACATTTCATTGTGAAAGTAACGAAGAATTTCATTTTATGAGCCGAGAGTCATTGGTCGGTTCTTAGAGAGACAGCCTCTTAAACTCTCTAAAATTGATACGGATGCAACTTCCTGAAAAGTACAACTTCCCTTCGTGGGGAAGTTAGGAGCTATACGACTTTCATTTGGCTACATGGTGGAATTTAATTTAACGGAACTCATTCACTTTCCTAAAGCTCATTCACTTTCCTATTAACTTCCGACGAAGGCCTTCGCTCAAAATGTCGACATTTTCGTTGGATTTTTCAGGTAGTTGCATGCCTATCAACCGAGGATTTGTAATAAAGATAATGGTATAGAAATACATGCATGCAGCAACCCCCAGCCTATATTTTCTAAGCATTGTTTAACATAATTATAGACTACAAATTATTATTTAAGACCTCAAGCAAGAACTAATTATGGCACTTTTACTTTCAAATGTACAGCATCAGTCCTCTGGGAAATTACAGTTTATCACATGAAGCATCTTACTTATAAGACTTTTGAACAAAACTGTACGTTGTATTTGCTAAATCAGGAAATCTCTTATACTTTGAGTTCGAAACACTGAAAATTCTCATATGGAGAGTAGTTAACTCGAAAGCTTCCTGCCACTTTGACACCGGGTATAAGTTATCATATTTGACTATTTTTGTAGTGTTGTACGTTCTTGTATTCTATTTATTTCTTCTTGTAAACATTGCAAAATCACATTGCAAAATCATTAAAAATCAGAGAAAACAATCTGAAAATTACAATAGCCATTGTATGTGTGATCCTGGTAGTCAAACAACATGCATTTCTATAATTTCTTCAATTTATTTCTGTCAAAATATTTCAAGAGTTAAGAAACACTTGAAAAGCTTTAGAAAAGATTTCCACATCTCCAAAAATTCATTCAAATAAGAGAAAATACTTTGACATGGATATGGAGAGCAGTTTAAATATAATTTTATCATGAAAATCCTTGATAATAGATACACTAAGGTGTTTATTCCAAAGGTGTTTATTTACAGGCCCAAAGGTGTAAATATACACATTCTAAAAGTGTTAATATCAACAACAAAGTATATAATTACTTTTTATTAAATAAATTTTGGAATATTTTACAAATTGCATTTCCATCCCAAAGTGAGCATAATTATTAATACAATTAGAACTTAGAAGCTGTTCGCATGAGTTTCACTCCGGCCCAGCACTCTTGGCTTGCTCCCCTTGCCATATCACAGATCAGACAGTCATTGGCTTCAAACGATCGAAGCATGCAAGATGACAATGACAGGCGGCAGGTGCGATATACCAATGTGGTGCAGGGGTGTGTGCACCCCTTAGTGGTGTCCAGCATCCGCTTGAAGAAAGGGCCGTAGCGAGGGGGTATTGGGGGGGGGGGGGGGAGGTTGTTAACCCCCAACTTTTTTTGGAATTGACATATTCGGAAAATCAGGTTCGCCATTCGGAAAATAACGGCAATAATAGTATAACAAAATTTTAGTTGCATGTTAAATAGAGAAAATATAATATAATTGTATTGTCAGTATAAACTGCTTTACGAAATCATGGCAATTACATGGATAACATTTAACAAATCGTCGGTTTATCACTTCTCAGGGCCGTTTATCACTTCTCAGGGCTGGGGGTGATGCAGCCCTCCCAATAATTCGCTAATAATCATTCTTTTTTCAAAATCATGCAGACCTTTATCATTTAAATAATATACCTTTAATTTAAAATACTGACAATTGGTTAATTTTAAGAGACAACTAACATTATACATGGCAAACTGCAAAGAAACATATTACCCATACTTTCCTGCAACTTCTCGGTCCTCTCCAGTATATAGTTAATTGAATACGCCTTTGCCCATTTAGTACGTACTACTAAATTGCAAGCAAATTCTAAATTTCGACATACTAAAACGCGGTTTTCTGACTATCAGAATTCTGTCAAAACTTCCTCCAAAGTGCAGGAAATGGCATTTCCAAATAATTTTTAAATTTAGAGCTTCCTACGGCACTGCATGCTTCTGTAATATGTCTGTGCGTAAAATAGGCGTATTTTTGTTTGTAAATTGCGTCTTCATTTTCCAGATAGCAAACACCTTTGTGGTTTCGTATGCCATGAAATATTCGTCAATCGGAATTTTTGGCCTACCCAACTATAAATGCTAGCTACCGCCCTGCTCTGGTTTCTCATATTTTTAGCTGTGAATACTACTTGTTATATATTGAAATGAATGGTTTTCGAATATGCGAGAAAATATTCAAGCACCAATACGGTGGGTCATTATATAACATAGCACTTTTCTAAATTTTTGCCCGAAATATACGAATACTGTGAGGACAAATTTAACAAATAAATAATTGTATTGCACAGAATGCAATGTATGGCACTTCAGGGCTTCAAATTCAAAAAAACGTTCTGGGGGAAAATGGCCCGGACAGCTGTAGTAATGCACCACCTATGGAAAACCTCCACCCCCTCTAACAAATCAGTCCAGATCCACCCGAGAGGCAGTTTTTTTATTACCAATAAAGTGAAATTGTTGCATATTTTCAAGCATGCATGCATTGTAACCTGATTTCTAGCCTTTTTGAACATCTGACATTGTGGCAATGGCAAGATCTAGCCCGGACCTGGTTGGTCCAGCCATATCCAGACTGGCTTGTCCAGCCAGCCCAACTCCTGTAAACAGCCCTTTACTACACATTCGAAGCATCTGTTGAGGCATCAAAGTACATATATGCACATGGAATTACATGCGAGTATGTGACATAAGTGCACCATTGCACAACTTTGTCTGTACCAACACAATTATCAAGCTGGAAACGGATTTTATCGGTACTTTGATATATACATGTACATTATGGCTAATGTTTAAAGACACCTGCACTTTCATATTGAGGTTGTTCTAATATCGTCAAAACAAAACACACCAGAAAACTGTAACATCAGCAAAATGAGCCGAAATCACTTTTTTAACACAATTTATGGTTAAATGAAGCCACACGATGCACAATTTCTGAATGAATTTTAGTCCCTGAAACACAATCAAATCATATATTAATAGTATTTAAAAGTTGTAAACAGTGTTGCATTTTACAAAATATAGTCGCATTTCTAATGGTAACTATAAATTAGGCCAATTTAAACTCGAGAATATCAATAATTAAAGAATAAAGGTCGTGTTTATAAGCCCAGACATATATATAAGAAAGAATTTGACCACAATAATATGCAAAAAGATCTTAGTACTCCTTCTTTGAAAATGTTAATTTATCCCAAAGTTTGAATAAATTCATCGAAGATTGCATAATTATGTCTTGTCATTGGTCAGGGTCTTTTACCGCCTTCTCAATGACAAGGGAAAAGCCCTGGGAACAAAGTTGAATTATGATCTTAAATTAATTAGTTACTGTCTTCATCCTTGTGTGCTATAACAGTACAAAGCAGATCCGGAAAAAAAGAATTTACTAAATATTTTGAATAGAAACATGGCCATATTCATGGCCTCTGTGTTCGGATTTGTATTGTTCACTATCATTATCACTTTTTATAGGTTGCCCCGAAACCATATATGCTTTGGGGGCAGGAATAAGTTTACCTGCATTATCCAGCAGCTTTCATGGATATTACACCAGCCAAGGCTCTACTTTATCTGGATCCGTAAACTTTTATGTCCGCTCAAGACCTGTGGATGAAGCACCGGCGACCACGGAACCACCAACCTCGGGACCGTAGGAACACCAACCATAGGACCACCACTGTCTCTATTATAAGCGACGTGTTGGCAATTTTATCCACAGCATAATAACATTCAATATGTTAAAGGGGAAGTCAAGTCCGTTCTGCGCATCGGTTCTGCTCATAACAATGTGAGGACCTCTTATGTGAACATTGCCCAAATTTCGAATGTTTCGAATTTTTCTGAACATAAACTCTATTTCATATTCATTTAGAAGCATAGCGAACCAAAATGGTGTTAGATATTCAGACAGTACATCATATTTTAAAAAATACAGCAGTTCAGAATGTAATCAAACCGTTTGTTTACATTACGGACTTGACTTCCCCTTTAAGAAACGTAAATATATTTGGTTTCCAGAATATTTTGCACGTGATGTAATCATATTTAATTACAAAATAATCCGAACATAGTAAACATTTTCAAAATTGTTGATTGTGATTAGAAATATATGCATGAAACAACAACTCAGGGTCGTTCTGAGACGCGATAATGGGGGAGGAGTGTATATTCATATATTCATGTTCACATACTGTAAAAACAATCGCTTTCAAAAGAAATCCGTCAGGCAGAACACGCATATATAACCCCCCCCCCCTCTCCCAATCATCAAGCTAGGAACGGCCGTGAAGCAACTCCCCACATTCATGCAACTACAGTATAGTCCCCAAACATTGCATTCGCACAATCCACTACAAGCTGTTTTCTCCTTAGCAGAGGCTTATGCGGTTCTAGTTTATTTGCGGCTTGATAACAATTTGTGACAAGGCCTGTTTAAAATGTAAGTACCACGCACTCAACTGGGAAGATGAGAGTACATGGGCGTCGAGCGACACGACACTTAGGTCAGCGTTCTTAACGCTTTTCCAACACTATCATATGTTGAATTTAACTTACGTATACGTTATTTTGAAGCAACGAGGGGATATGTGATTTATTGTGAATAAACACATATCCCCGAGGTGCCTCAAAATAACGTACTTATTTTTCACATTAATTGCGAGGTCGCGAAAACGAGTCTGAATAGAAATAATTCTTAATGCCATATCGCGTTCGTGATGTCGTTTTTTTCTCATTTTGTGTGCTTCAAATACATTGCAAGTGAATATTAAAGGGAATTATTAAACGGAAATTGATTAGAGGGGAATATTGAATATATTTCCCGATAAGAACAAAGGAAACCGAGCAGGGCGAAAAATAAATCGTCATCGTGACTAGAATACTCATGGAAACTATATTTTGTTAATCAAGAGCATAGATGTAGGAATCAGTGGCGGACTCGAGGGTCTACACCCCGCCCAACATTTTTGGTCAGACATTTTGTACTTAAAAGTCGGGCAATTGTCCTCCACCCCGTCAACATTAATTTTGAGAAATATACAAGGGAATGATTGGTTGAGGAAATATACTGAACGTGGGGCGTATTTTCGACAGAATTAACCCCCCACCCCACCCCCGCATAATTTTCCTCCCCTTTCCTACGAAGAAACTTGAAATGCCCCCTGTAACAATGGGCCTTATGCAGGTTTCAGTCCAATTTCCAGGAATTTCTGTTACAATACTGGAAGTTTTATATGTTGTTTATATCATTATTACGAGTGTTCACCAAAAATTTTGAATCAATAGGATTAATAGGATTAATTTCTCCAGAGTTACAGCGTCCTGGAGAATAAAAGTGCTGACGTCAGCATTATTTTCGAACGCCTTCAGAAACTGTGCAGTTATACACAAAATTTAGTTAAAATTTATTGGATAGGGTTAAGACTGGACTTCTTACCCCGATAAGAACAAGAATTTAAATATTTTGACCCAAGCACGCCTATATTTTAGCATTTGATTTTTGGATAAATGCTTGGTGTTATAAAAATGACCATTTTATGGCATTACTTTAATTAATGAGATGTTCGACATCTGGAATAAATTTTTGATGTGATAATGATAGTTTTGGTGACGTCACAACAGGGATTAACCATATATAAGTATTCGTTGCTGACCAAATATTGATTGGTAGATATGTTTTAATATCTTTGAATGATCTTGATATTTCGAAGGGCAGACAGAATATAGTTTTAAGTGCAAAAGGATTAGTGTTTGTCTAGATAAAAATATTGCGTGACCCCTGTTGTGACGTTATATGCATATCTATAACATTTGAAGATGGCGGACATTTCACTCCTTTCGATCAAAATATTTGTAGACTAGTAAGCAATGAAAGATATGAAAAAAAACGGTAAAAGAGGTTATATATTATAGTCTTAAAAGATATTTCAAATGAGAAAATAAAAAAATATATATATTGGCATTTTCTTTTATGCACCGCGTCCTGTGCACTAGACATTAAGTTTTACTGGTTAAAACCATGATCCATTAACGACCTAAATTTCACGATTCACGCATGTTTTTTACTACACGTTCAGGTCTCAAACTTGAGGGGAAACTAAAAATGCAATGTCAGCTTTTTTATTAGTGCAAAGTTGCATTGCACTATTGTTGTGAGGTTAAATTCAATTCAGTGACCGATCAATGGATCGATCAATCGATCTATGGATCGATAGAGTAAACAATTCGGGGATAGCTTGCAATTGATTTTTTATCACGTTTTCTAGAGCTTCGCGATGTTCGGCCAACTAATCGTTCATAGCTGTTTGTAGATTATAACAATCTATATATTTATATTCATGATGCTACATGTTCTTACTTATTTATCCGACATTTAGAGAAGTTATATCCAAATTACTGTTGCATTTCAAGCACTTGTTATTATATGATATGCCCCCTGCAACATCAATACACGTGCATAATACACGTCGTCTCATATATGTTATTATTTTACAATGGCGGACATGGGCGAGCGGTGACTATGTAGGTATGTATGTATGTATGTATGTAAAAATTTATTTAAAGACGCTAGCCTTGTCAACAAAGAGAGTTGATTTCCACAAGGGGCGTCGACATTTGAAAATTTACAAAAACTATTTACAAAAAAGACAAATATAAGTACAAATACATGCAATATATATAGTAATTAATTAGAATGGTTTAAAAGGAAGTTGGTGGTTTGGTGTGATTTGGCCATATAAATATGTCTGTAATAATCCATTTAGATTAATATTAGGTTAGTTACTTTGCCTTACAATATTTTTAAAAGAACATATTGATAGGGCTTCCTTAGCTTCACCAGGAAGATCATTCCATAGTTTAGCACCACTATATCGAAAACTCTTTTTCAGAAAGTCGCGTCTTGGCTTAGGAACGGCCAGATCATTCTGAGCATTTCTGAGATCGTAAGTCGTTTGCGAAATATTCCTTTTTATCAAAAACTCTTTCAAGTTCGGCGAACTATGGTCGTTTAGAATTTTATAAACAAGAGTTGCCTTAGTTAATTTTCTTCTAGATTCTAAATTGTCCCATTCAAGAGATTGAAGAACGTCAGCAGACCTGATCTCATAACCAGCACCAGCTATTATCCTAGCTGCTCGATTTTGAAACTTCTGCAATTTGTCTTTTAATGTTTTGTTACAAGTGTCCCAAAGGGGAGAACAATAATCGAAGTAGGGTTGTATCAAAGCGCTATAGATTGATTGCAGCATGTTTGCAGGAACGAATGGCTTGATGCGCCTTAACGTTCCAATACCTGCTGCAACCTTTCTGCAAATTACGTCAATATGCTCATCCCAACTCAACGTTTCATCAAGGGTGGCGCCCAAACAAGGTATTGAGGTTACCCTAGGAATTGGTTGACCATTTAACATTACAGGAATGTCATTATTTATCTTATGGAGATTATGTTTAGATCCTACGTACATTAATTTAGTTTTGGATGAATGGTGTTGCAATTTGTTTTGTTTGAGCCATTGACTTATGTTATTCAAGTCACTGTTCAAATTGAAAACGAGGTGCTGATAGTCATTAGCAGATGAAAAAATCTGTGTATCATCAGCATATAAGCACGGGATTGTATTCTTGAGATTATTTGGGAGATCATTAATATAAAGCAGGAATAGAAGTGGGCCTAAAATAGACCCTTGAGGGACTCCACAAACGAGATTTCTAGGTGTTGACATCGTGCCATTGACAAAACACACTTGTTCCCTATTAGAAATGTAGGATTCAAACCATTTTAATTCGATATTTAAAACTCCAAATTGTTCTTTCATTTTACGCAATAAAATATTATGGTTAATTGAGTCAAACGCTTTCCGAATATCAAGAAAAACAACACCGTTCAAGTCTCCATTATCCATGTTAGTGTACCATGCATCGCACATTTGAATAAGTGCAGACAAAGTTGAGTTCTTTGGACGGAAGCCGGATTGATACTTAGAAAGCAGGGAGTTTTCATTTAGATATTTGTATAATTGGTTGAAGACTAAACGTTCAAAGATTTTACTTATAATTGGTAGAATGGAAATTGGACGATAATTTTCGCATTTTTGTCTGTCTTCAGATTTATATATCGGTAAAACCCAAGCCTTTTTCCATTCTTCCACATAAATTCCAGTTTTAATTGATAAATTAAATATCCACGTTAGTGACGGACTAATTATTTCAGCAGCAATTTTAAGTGCTCTCGCTGGAATTGTATCAATACCTGTTGATTTTGATGTTTTAAGATTGCGTAATTGAAGACACACTTCGTGTGTACTTATTTCAGAGAACTTAAACTGAATATCTGGCCTAGAAGGAACACTTTGTAATGAAGTGAAATCAGTGGAATTGATCTCGATTTCGTTAGCTAGTTTAGCTCCGATATTCACAAAAAAATCATTAAAGGACTCGGCTATCTTTATGTCGTCAGAAATAATAACGTCTTCAACTTTAAGTTGAGAAATATTATTTGATTTATTATTTTTGCCTAAAAGATTGTTTATTAATTTCCAACTTTGCTTAGGGTCCTTTACCCTGACACAATCTTTGATTTTATTGCAAAAGTAGTTCTTTTTAGCCTTCTTTAATTCAGAATTGACTTTATTCCTAATTGCTCTAAACTTGATCCAGTGCATGTTCGAATTATTTTTTACGGCCTTCTTTTTGTGAAAATCTCTCTCTCGCATTAACTCCTTTACTTTCGAGGTAATCCATGGGAGAGAATTGCCACGAACTCTCATACGCCTCAGCGGCGCATGCAGATCCAATACTTGCAAAAAATGTGACCGCCATAATTGATATGAAATATTGGGATCGTCGTAAAATGTCACATTGTCCCACGGAATTTGTGAGAGATCATTGAGAAAGTCAGTTTCACTAAATTTTTTGAAGTTACGAGCATACTTAACATTTTGTCGAGACGTGATCTTAAAATGTTTTCTGACCACAAAAATTAAACTGTGATCAGATAAACCTAGATGAAGTACTCCGGATTTTACAATATTTTGTTTCTTATTCATGATTGCCAGATCGATCAAAGTTGCTGACGTTCTAGTTACCCTAGTGGGTTTATCAATTATCTGATCAAATTGATAAAGTGACAATAGGAATTTTAACCTACGCGTGTGCGCATCGGAAGGAGATTTATTTACATCACAGTTTAAATCTCCAACAAGTATTAATTCTTTATTCTCAAAATCACAGTTTCTGAGGAAAGCTTCAAAGTCATCAAACACCTGAAGATTTGTATTAGGAGGTCTATACCATGTACTTACTAGGAAAGATTTACTACATGGTCTGCTAATTTCCACACAAACCATTTCTAAAGTGTCTGCTAGTAAGTCATTCCGTTCCGTAAATGGTATAGAGTCACGAACATACAAAAGTACACCGCCTCCATGTCTATTACGATCTTTGCGAATTACATGGTATCCTAAAACATTGATTTCATTTTCAGAAAATGAGCCATCAATTTTGGTTTCATTAACTGCTAAAATATCTATAGGGCTATTCTGCATCATAATTCGAAGCTCATCAATATGCTTTGTAAGACTATTAACATTTAAGCATCATGCAATCCTAATACCTTTACAATTTTTTAAATAATTTAATAATGAGCTATCTGATTTTTTACTTATCTTATGGCCATGAGAAGTAGAAACTGGGTCCGAATCACACCGTGAATTTATCGTTGAATTTTGCGAGAGTTCCCCACGAGTATCGCTTTCAGCGTGCATGTCCCCTATTTGATTGATTGTTGCCATACGAAAATCCTTCTCAGAACGAGTCGTGTCTTGAACAACACGGGGTTGATTTCCTCTCAGAAAGGTAATAAAATGTGAGGCCAGGACTGCTGAACCTTTGCCGTTAAGATGTAGATTGCTCCCATTTAAACATGTGTGATCAATGGAAGAGTTATCAATGAACATAACTATAGAACTATTGAGCGGCGGTGTGAAATGCTGAGATCGTGTAGACTAGAGTGTGTTACATCTGAGCATAGTTAATAGAGGAGATGGTTTGGAAACTCGTTAGCATTACAATAAAATCACAATAAACCTCATTATCTATGTTGTTCAGGTTTATGCAAAAATGTGGCTTTGATCGTCACGTGCGTATTGTATTTTTCTCAAGTCAACCAATAGGAATGTTCAAAATGTCCTATTGTTAAAGTCATGGATGAGAAATTGGACAAAACCGTTGCTATTGGCTGGTTGAGCAAAAATACAATACGCACGTGTCGATGAAAGACCACATTTTTGCATAAATCTGAACAAAAACATAGATAGTGAGGTTTATTGTAATGCTAATGAGTTTCCAAACCATCTGCTCCATTAACTATGATCTGAGGTTGATAGTATTATAACACAGTGGTTTATCTATGAAAGATACGGAGCGATGTATACATGAATAAGTGCCAGAGGATAGTTTGATATAAAATTATAAGTCAGCAGCTGATTTATATCAGCTAGCTTCTTCTTGTATTATTATATTGCGATAATAGCGATATAACCCGCGGAAAGAAGGGACCGCTCGTCGTCTATATCAGCTAGCTTATTCTTGTATTATTATATCGCGATAGAGCTAGGTTTACATGGCCCAATAAATAGTAAATAATAAAATAAAATTGAAATTTTTGCTTCAGAGGCAACATGCCGAGGTCGAGCGTATTTATAAAATTGTAGCGGCGACGCTGCAAATTTTTTTTCCGTAGACAGTCGGACTCCTCATTGATAGTCGGACGCATCATTGATCCGCGTCCAGGCCTCCGCGCGTTATCGATCGATCCCTTCGTACCCTGCATAACCCACTGGTATACCATATGTCCATCATTCCGCGTTGTTCCAGTCTTCGACTTTGTCTCCCCCCCCAGTTCAATGTTGTGAACAACGCCGAAACAACTTTTGGTAATATACCATGATACAAGCTCAACATTGAGTTGGGGGAGCGTGGGTTTAAGAATGGCAACATGATTCAACATGGAGTTATCATAAAAATACGCGAATTTTCCATAGGGAGGAAATAGTCTCAACCAGTTAGGTCCAAGATTGTAGTGCTTGTAGTGAAGTATATTATTTTTAATAGCAGAAATATCTGTACTGAGTGTAATCTGTTATTGTAGTCAGTAATGTCAGTTCGTATTGTTTCCGAGACGTTTTATATAATCAGTCATTCCAAGCTTTTGTCAAACTATTGGTATTTCTCACTTATGCAGTCATGGCATTTCATTGATAAACTGTAAAATATTATATTTAATAGTGAGAAATATTTAGATGTCGGCCATAGTTCTGTTTGCATATTATTACTGTAAAGTCATTAGACAGCAACTTCTGGAGCACATGGACAGCACGCAGTCGACTTGAACCCTTCCTGTTTTCTCATTGGCTTTCTAAATCTGGAAATGATCTCGAATGTCAGGTGACAACAATTTCTTGCAAGCTGTTCATTTTTGTTTCATTTCGATTTTCGAAGGTGGTTTATTTTGTTTTGTATTACTTAAATGTACAATGGAAAATGGGTAGAAAACTGAATTATTAAAAGCAAAGAAAAAAAGATCTGGACTAAAGCCACCATTCAAGGAATTAAGCCATGGAAAGTTATCCATGCGAAAACAACAAATTTTACTGTCGTGGCTTGTAATATATAAAAACAAACGCCATACAACTTTCTTATAGATGCATCAATCATATTTCACATATCATTCATTATGCGAATCAACAAATCTTAATTATCATTTGTCATATCAACTTTGAACTATCCTTTGGATCTCTGAGTTTATTCATCATTCCGAGATGGCGTCTAGTTTCACGATCAGCATGAGGTAGGTTTTCTCATTTTAAATCTTTACTAAGGTAACAAATAGTTATGCCAGTGTAATAGAAATATTCATAACCGCCTTATACTTGGTTTCAAATATTAATAATTTTTTGTGAGAAAATGCATGCATTTCTAACAAAAATCCCCATATTTTAGCATTGTCCAGTATACTGGACATTGTGTTTTTAGGCAATAAAAGTATTGCAATGTGTTGTGTAATTGTATTATATTTATTTACCTCACATTTGGAATTAAAAATTAAGATATTTTCTAATTGCTTTGTTAATATGTATGCATATATTTAGGTCATTTTATGGGTCTGTTTAACCAGTTCCACTTCCACATGCAGAAATGAGTACAGAGTCAGGACGAAGTGATTCGGAGGAAGAGGTCTATATTGCGTCAGGCAAGGAAACAACAGAATCCTCTTCATGTATGCACAATAAACGTAGCATTTTGTGCTATAAATATGTAGAGTAAACATTCATAAATCTTATTTATCTACATATTTGTCACAGATAGTGATACAGCACAAGAAGAAATGGATATGGAAGCTGAAGTACCAACTGACAATGAAGAAGTTTTTGAATGGTTACTGAAAGGTAAATATAGTTCGACTGTCCCAAGAGTCGTAATACTGTTTGTTCAGGATTCTGAACATAAATTCTGTTTCCTGCATTTTCCACAACCGTAATCGTTAGCATTCATCGAAAATTTAGTCTATAATTAAGATATGAATATTGATATTCAAGATTACCAAAATCGGTGTAGAAAACCAGTGTTATGGCTGTGACACAAGTGGTCAACAAACCTGTTAACACTTAGGGAACGGTCATTAATTACAGGGGGGCTGGTGGAAATGAAATATTAGATGCTAAAATGTTGTCCCCCCCTTGAGGATAACACAATTATACTTGACCGTTCCACTTCATGCAAATAACAAAAGGCACATTCGTATAAATTTAAAGTTCCTATTAAGTGAAGCCACATTTAATCATACTACCCTATCATAGTTGCCAACTTTGGGAAACAAATCCGTGAGATTTTGCCTTGGGGGACCCATGCCACGAGGCGCCACCATAGTTGGCGCTGAGCTAAAGTTTTTTGAAAATATGGAGTTTCTAGATCGTTGGAAATGGCATTTTCAGAGTCTTCAATACCTTATACACACAATTTATTTAGATATACAAAACCATATATATTGTTGAATACCCACAAGCACGAGGTAAAAAGGTTTTATGTAATTTGACGTAAATGAAGTCACGCTTAATAGTTAATTTAAAATGTGCAACAAAGGCAACATATTTAAGAACTTGTTGGGTTATTTTCGAAATCTGTGAGAAATTACCAAGCTGTGAGCTCACCGCGAGGTTTTAGTAGAATATGTGATGCTGATGGTGAATTCGTGAGATTTGGCAACTATGCCCTGTATACATGTACCGTAATTTATACTGTATATTATTTACCATTTGTTGAGTCCACAGCTGTTCAAATGTTCATGTTTATGTTGAAATCAGTTAAGTAAATGGTGTTGTGTTGAAGTTTACTACAGTTCTACTGCTCTCTATTTTTATCTGTTGGTTTTATGGTAGGGCGGGGTCCAGCGGGGCAGGTATTTATATTGCCCCAAAATTTTTGGCCCCCCTTTTTTCATGCACAAAAATATCTGACCCCCCTCATTTCCCACCAGCCCCCCCCTCCCGTGTAATTAATGACCGGTCCCTTATCACAACTGATGCGTGAATTCAGTGGTCCATTGCGGAGTGAATCAGAGTTTATTTTAAACCATCCATTATAACGTTGCTTTT